ATTTATTTGTTCCATCAATAGGACGCAGTGACCGAAAGGGATAATTACTTATTGAAATTCAAAAATTGATCTCCTCTACTATGGTTCAGTAGTGGTCGGAGGAATTTTAGGAGGCTTGATAAGTGTTGGGGTTCGAGTGTGGGAGAGTAGCTACCGAGTACGTATAATTACAATCTCTTTTGTCCTGTTGCTTATAATATACTATAATACATATTGATACAAACTCAATGATTATATATATTTAGGGCAATAAAGTTAAGGCGCACAAAAATGACCGTTAATGAGTGCAAGAGAACCAGAAGAGTCATAAGAGAGCTAATAAGGAAAGGAAGATATTATAAAAAAAAACTACGGATGTTATTTCAATTTAATGTACAAAATTGTCTTATTTTTAATGAAATTTATATATTTTTCTAGACAATAACACAAGCTACAAACACATAACATAACACCTAACCTTTGTACTATTAATCATCGTCGATTTGAAAAAATAACGAGTTACCTGTACATTTTTTTTATAACTACGTCGAACCAATCTCGTCATAGAAACACATTAACAGGGTTTTGCACCGCGTCGGCTACATTGAAATAGTCGTCGAATTAACTATAAAATAAATAGTATGTATAAAGATATAATAAATGACTTGATGTTACAGGGTGGGAGTGTGAAAAGCAATTGTTGTGGCCACCTTGCCTAGATTCGACCACATAGCGATATGCAATTGGTTGGTGTCGCTAGAAAAACTGCAGGTCAGGGATAAGAAAAAAAATACGTTAAAAACTTAAAAATGTATACCGTCATCATTCGGCGTTCATTGTGAAAATACAAATGAAATGAATGCAGAATGAGAATAAAAACAGTACATATAATATTATAACGTAGCAACTATCGCCACAGACCAGGCCAACTTGTTTGGTAGCGTTAGTTCGGCAGCCAACTATACGCCCAAAAATGCCAAATCCAATCTGTCCAATCTCCGATCGGTGGGAATAACGGACGTTAAACGTAGGAGAGTCATTTCCACTAATGATACACGGGTTGTATCCCAAAATTCTACGAAACTTTTATAAATTATACGTATAGTATACTAAGTATAAACGTTATTAAAAATTAATTTTAAATGGTTTATACAATAAAAATCTACCAAATTATACACCATTTATACACCTATCTTATACGAAAAATATGCGAAATATACACGCAATTCAAACATAATTTTACACGGGTTTCACACCAAAATTATACGTACTAAATACACCTTTTTTGCGCCAAAAATGTACGTATATGAATGTTTATTTTACGTAGAATACACGTTGAATATCGATCGTTTGACCAAAAAATATCCATAAAATGTCCCAACACTTACGTATATGCTGATCTGATATACGTATATTTGTCTACTGGGTGTCAATTAAAAAAGTAATAGTGATGATCATATCTTATAATTGAGGCGCATAGAGCCAGAACAGCCTAACCCACAAAAAATCAAAATCTGTTTAATGTGATAAAACGTTTCAGATTGATGTAATATTTGAAATGCACTATGGCCTATCCCACAAAAAAAATTATTCACTAGATGGCAGCACATAACTGTTTTTGGCACTGTGATTATGAAATATAATTTCAGAACCATAACCGACTTTAAATTGAGTAGTACTCAATAGATGGTTTAAAAGGCAAGGATTGATACATAATAATGAGTTTTTGTTATTTTCCTTGGAGTGGATTTAATAAGAAAAAAAAAAAATTAAAAAAGTAGTCAAAACTTTAAATGCCCGTCCTGCGCAATTACACTTTTGTGGGTTAGGCTGTTCTGGCTCTATGCGCCTCAATTATGGTTCAGGCTAATGGTTTTATCCTTTAACTTTATTGTTTCTATTACTTAAGTCACTTAAGTTATAGAGTTAAGTGTAGTTATAATATAAAATTTCGACGTGCCTTTTTTTTTGGCTCAACGACGATATTGGAGTTGTAGTTCTTCATTGTCTCAATTTATTACCCGAGTATTTCATAGATCTAAACTTATGTTAATACTGCATCAATCATCATTTTAAAGGACTTTATATTCACTCAATTGAAGATATACTGAGTTTGTATAATTTATCTTATTCTAATTAATAATCATGATTCATGAGTCACCTTTTTGTTGAAGCTTAATTAAATGGTAGGTTATTAAATATAATAGAAGTATATTGTAAAAGTATATAAGTAAAAAACTAATCATTGAATTACAGTAAAAATCTTACTTCAAGTATAGGAAAACATATTAACAGAAATTAACAAGGTTGAATAGCATTTTACCTTACCTTAAAACGTTTTTAAGAACCAACAATAGTTACACAACAACTACAAAATTTTGAAATTCAGTTGACATAAACTTTATTAGACTCTAGATTTATTAAACTATATTAGTTAGAAGGCAAAACAGTGATTTAACTAAACCCTTTTAAAGGCTCGTAATAAATAATTATTCAGAGTACAAAATCTTGGTAACACGAAGTGAACACAGTGAACATCATTTTTTAGTTTTTTATTGCATATATCAAATCATTAGAAAAATAGAATATTATAATTAGAATTATATATTAAGTGCAATTTATACGAAGAAAAGAATATTTGAGTCATCCAGTTTCAAAACTAGCCCTAAGACATTTTGACAATGTGTTTGTTTTTTAAGTGACCACAATTTATTACATGTTATGTAAAACTGATGTTGAATATCAAATAAAGAAAATAACTAACTCAAACTGTGGTTGTTTGAAAATCTTGGTTGGTTCTATCTGAAGATATTATTTGTTGTTTTGTGAAAATTTTCCAAAATTGTATTGCTGGTTTTGAAACTAGGCGCCTCATTTGGATTTACTAAAATATAGAACCTTGACTATTGTATAGGAACTTATAATATCTATGTTTCTTTAGGATTAAATGAGCTGTTACCAAGAAGTTAATTTGTAATTACTAAAATACAAAAACCGTGTTCACCACACGGTTTCTATAGCATTGATTGAGCTGTTGGTTACCAAGGAGTTAGTCGAAGTTGGGTCAAATGATCGTCCATGGAATCTGTGTAAAAATCTAACTTGGTTACATAAAACAAGTAGATGTTATCTGTATGACCTTCAGCAGCACGTGCTTCTTTTATTGTCCCTATATCGAATAATTGGTATTTTGGACTGCATGTAGACTCCAAAAAGTTTCCTAAGGCTTCAGCACCTTCCATGAGCAGTGTATTGAATTTTAACCCTCCTGGTATAATTCCAGAAAATATTTCTTCGGTTTGTCTCGTATAAAAGTCTTCGAGCAGCGACAGTGCTTGGTAAAATGGATCTTGATTAACATTGTCAAGGATTACAAAATGAATGTACTCTAAATTTCGCATCAATTTTATTATAACACGCCTACCTTTTTCTATGCTTCTTCTAACTTTCGACCTGCAATCTTCAATGACATTTTCGTTTTGCTGCAACTCGTTACATGCATCAATTGATTCAAGGGCCAGCCGGAGAAACCATTGTATTTCTATACCGTAAGAGCATCCCAACATCGGAGAGATCATTCGTAGCCTACTCATTATCCCGACTGTAGGTTCATTCAACCATATTTTATCTTTAGGCATCCAATTACCTTCACCGCCGAACTCATTGAACCACATGTCTTCCCAAAGTGTTTTTTTCTTAACACTTTTCAGCATTCTAATTTGAGCTGTTGTCCCTTCTGGGCATGTATTTGTTTCATTTTGTATGCACACGAAAACAAACAGAATAAAATACTTAATAAGTATATTTTTTTTCATTTCTAGTCTTTTAGATCTAAAAAATTACCATAGACCGAACAATGCGACAAACATAGGTAGTGTATATGTAAAATCAGAATGTCTGTATATTTTTAACACGTGTTGGCAGCCGTAGATCACATAAACGCAATAACGTACCCATTGTTTGCTCAGAGCATAATATGCACAAATTGCATTGTCTACATAATACCATAAATTATTAAAACGTAAAATTGTATAACTATAAGTAATAAGTACATCGCTCAACATGAAATTTAAAACGGTTTTTACAAACTAGTTTTCAATACCGTGTAATATGAGTAATCTGTAAATAGTCAATTAATATAACTCTACTTGTGGCTTCGTTCAGATAGGTCTCTGATGCTGTGTAAGAGTACCGGAGTGAGGATAATGCTTAGTATTTTCGGGGTGGTAATCGATTTTTACGGGGATGTCCGCAAAAACGGTATGCGTCAATTAAGGAATTAAACAGTTATAAAACCTTTATAATATAACCTACAAGCTACATATATATTATAAGTATTTATATTTAGTATACACTACACACAATTTTTTTTTTTACCTAACATATTGTAGTTTTTGTTCAAACTTGTGATGTATAAAATAACTAATTAAGAGAACGTATGAATAAATAATTACATGTAACTCTTGTATTTATACATTTTTTCCATAAACTGGATTTAAATTAGGTATTGCTTTTAAAATCACGTATTTCAAGTAATACAGTAAAGTAGTAAGTAATAACTTGAAAGTAATTATTGATTGATTTTTACCTAACTTGTATGGAATATATTTTTAATATAAAATTACCAATATATAGGAGGATTCATTTGAAGGTATGGCACACAATATTATATTGTAAGGTAGAGTAAAGGGTTTCTTCTACATTGTATTAAACGAATACCATACAAATAATAATAATATTAGCGTACTTAAATTAGATAAATTTAACCACACGGGAACATAAAAAACAAATGGATAACTTTGTTTTAACTGTATTGGTTATAAGGCAAGACAGTGAAATTACTAAACACTTTTAAGGGCTCGTAATAAATAATTATTAAAGGTTCAAAAACATGGTAACACAAAGTGAACACAGTGAACATAACTCTTCAGTTTTTTATTATATTTATCAAATCATTAAATTCAAACATTTTTTTTTCATAATAAAAACATTTAACATTAACAAGACAAAAATGAACCAATTTTATTAAAATGTACGTATACTGAATTTTATTTATACGAAGAAAAAAAAAATTTGTAATTACTAAAATACAAAAACCGTGTTCACCACACGGTTTCTATAGCATTGATTGAGCTGTTGGTTACCAAGGAGTTAGTCGAAGCTTGGTCAAGTGATCGTCGATGAAATCTGTGTAAGAATCTAATTTGGTTACACAAAACAAATAGATATAATCTGTATGACCTTCAGCAGCATGAGCGTCTTTTATTGCTCGTACGTCAAATAATTGGCATTTTGGACTACACGTAGACACCAGAAAGTTTCCTAAAGATTCAGCACCTTTCATGAGCAGTGTGTTGAATTTTAACCCTCCAGGTACAATTCCAGAAAATATTTCTTCGGTTTGTCCCGTATAAAAGTCTTCGAGCAGCGACAGTGCTTGGTAAAATGGATCTTGATTAACATTGTCAAGGATTACAAAATGGATGTACTCTAAATTTCGCATCAATTTTACTATAACACGCCTACCTTTTTCTATGCTTCTTCTAACTTCCGACCTGCAATCTTCAATGACATTTTCGTTTTGCTGCAACTCGTTACATGCATCAATTGATTCAAGGGCCAGCCGGAGAAACCATTGTAATTCTACGCCGTAAGAGCATCCCAACATCGGAGAGATCATTCGCAGCCTACTCATTGTCCCAACTGTATAATCTTGAGACCATATTATATCTTTAGGCATCCAATTATCTTCACCGCCGAACTCATCGAACCACATGTCTTCCCAAGGTTGTTTTCGTTGAATACGTTTGAACATTCTGATTTGAGCTTTTGTCCCTTCGGGGTATGCATTTATTTCCTTTTGTAAGCACACGAAAACAAACGGAATAAAAAAGATTATAAAAACATTTTTTTCCATATCGTGTCTGATAGATTTGAAAAATAGCAATGGGATGAATAATATCCAAACGTAGTGTATATGTAAAATCAGAATGTCTGTATATTTGTGCCACGTAGTAGGTAGTCGTACTATTTCGTACAAGCGAACTGACGTACCCATTATGCTTAGAGCATATACAAATGTATTGTCTGTGTTAATAACATAAATTATTCAAATTTTGTTGATTTTTTTTTTATTTGGTATACTTAAATTGTGATTATATTAGAGAACATTTAGTAAAGTTTAAGTTTGTGAATCCGTAGTATTCCAAATTCACAATTATAGTCTGCAAGTCACTTTGGGGGTTTTTCATTATTAAAAAAAAATTTGTCTACAGATGTTTTTTCAAACAAACTACGAGTTATGTAATAAATTAAATCAAATGTAACTTTGATTTTCTTTGTTTTGTTTGATATATGTAAATAATTCATAATTATAATGGTCCATAAACACAAAATTAATAATGTTGTTTATTCGGTTTCAGACATTTATTAAAAAAAAAAATATTAACATCCGATATTTTTTACATTTTATAATAAATCTTAATGACAAGAATCTACAATATATTGTACAGCAAATATTAATTTTAATAGTAATAATGGTACTAACAAAACGTTTAATCATCTTCTTGAAACGATATTTTACGTGTAGTCTACGTATATTCAGGTGTTAATTAGTAAAATATTGTGATTAAACAAATGAGAAATAAAACAAATCATATTTTTAATTTAGTGTTAAACTTTTTTATACTGTTACAAATAAAGCACAAAAAAACCAGTACAGTGGGGACGGGGAGGTCACAGGTTTACAGGAATTTTTAAATCTGAAAGTGATAAAATCACTTTCGAAAAAACGCTTCGATGTAAATCGGTATTAAATTGAGGTGCTGTATTTACAAATAAGCATCAAAGCGTTATTTTGAAAGTGATTTTATCTGAGAGGACTAGAGGGTACAGTACAGTATAGGTATAATGGAATCAAAGCAACGAGGGGACGGAGAGGTCACAGGTCTACAGGAATTATTATAAATAAAAGTAATAAAATTTAATAAAATCACTTTTAAATAAACGCTTTGATGCTTATTTGTAAATACAGCACCTCAATTTAATACTTTTTAACTTTGCTGGTTTATACTGTGCTTGGTTTGGACTGTACTGGCTTGAAAATACTAACTACCGATTTGCATCGCGGCGTTTTTTCGAAAGTGATTTTACCACTTTCAGATTTAAAAATTCCTGTTAACCTGTGACCTCCCCGTCCCCACTATGCCCCGACCCCACTGTACTGGTTTTTTTTTTTAAAACATAGTGGACGAAATAACACATATGCAATGTCTTGTTAAATTTAGTTGGAATATTTAACGGTTCATATTTCAATCGTTTGTACTCCATAGTTTAAATTATAATCGTTTATTCTCAATAATATTAGTGTTTATGTATTATATACTTCATTAGAGCAATCTCAAACTAACTATTTATACTTATTAGTTATTAGTTAAATACTACTAACGTTTATAGCCACTAGCTGTCGGCTGTTGCCTGTTATTTAACAATAACATTTTATGGAGATTTTAAAAATTGTATTTTTTAAACCTAAACTTATATTGGCGGTGTTGTCCATTTAAACAATAAAAAAGCGACCTCAGTGAATAAACTAAAATATTAATTTTGTCTTTCGTTTTGTTTAATGTTTAGCTGTACATTATAATTTTCATACAAATTAATTGCTTGCAACATACTACTTTCAATAATGTTTATTTAAAATATATTTGTTTTACAGTCATTGTTGTACATTATAAACGCACGTAAGTAATATTGCAAATATTGCAGTTTAAATATTTATTTCTAGTTTAGATTTTCAAATAATTCTTAGTTCTAATGTTTTGTTTAAAAAAAATTATTTAATGGTTTTCAGAAATGTAAAGAAATTCGAAGCCATTGAGAGGAAATATTTTCAGCTTTGACTTAGGTAATTTCCGGCATCAAGTACTTCATAGTTGACTACTAACACAACTAAGTTGTATTTTCAATGTTTATAAAAAAAATAAATTAAAAACTATATTAGTTTGTCATTGTGTATTAGTATTATTATACAATTAAATGAGATATTCAGTTCAATTAGTCGATTCAAAGGTTAATAATATTAACATAACAAACTAGTTTTACCTACATTATACATTTGGCCAAAAGACATTCCTCTTTAGGGCAAATTTTTATTTATCTATACTCAAAGACGTTATAACACTTTTAGCACATACAGGTAGTGCCCATATTTCGGTTTTACTTAACTTGCAATAATTTGCATTAAAATATGCATGTACCGAGCATTGAGAATCGGCTATTTAGGGAAATGGAAAGCTCTATTTATTAAGAGAAAAATATTAGATAATATTTGTTCTGGTAGATATTAAAAATTATGTTTCATAGTAATTCATAATACATTAATATAACAAAATTAAATTGTAATTATAAACAGAATAATATATTGTCAAGCCGTCATATCATATTAATAAGGACTATTTATAGATATAAAATATCTATAAATAAATAAATAGGATACCATTTATTTATAAAATAATTACTTGTTACATATCTAAGAATATTGTACACCAATTTATAATAACGTAATAATGTTTCTGTAAGAGCAAATGACCTGTTTGTTAGGCACTAGTGACTAGTTGGCCAAAGTTTTAGCAAGTGGCCGTTGATGTAATCGGTATATGAATATAATTTTTCAACATAAAACATATAGATACCTTTCGGGTAACTTTTAGCAGAATATTCATCCCTTATTGCCTTTATTTCGAATAACTGATAGTTTGGAGAACACGTTGAGAGCAAAAAGTTTCTTAAGGATTCGGCAACTCCATTAAACAACTTGTTGATAACTGAGCCTCCTGGTGAACGTCCAGAAAACTGTATGGGGATTTGTCCCGTGAGAAAATCATCAAGTGGTGACAGTGTATGGTAAAATCGATTTTCTTCGACACCGTTGTCGATTACAACATCAATGTACTCAATTGTATACATAAGTTTTAATATAACAAAACTACCTGCTTCGATCACTTTTTCAAGTTCGGCCATACAATCGCCTGCGTAGTCGTTATTGTTACGTTGCATTTTGTCACATTCATCTATTGCTTCAAGCGTCAATAAAAGAAACCAATTTAACTTAATGCCATAAGCGCATCCCATCATCGGGCAGACCATTCGCAACCTATCCAATGCCCCAAGTGTTGAATCCTTACACCATATTCTGCTTACAGGCATCCAATTACCTTTGCCGGCATTGAACTCATTGAACCACATCCGTTGCCAATGTTGTTTTTGTTGAACATGACTGAGCATGATGCTTTCGGCTTCTGTCATGTTTGCGCTTGCATTCGTCTCGTTGTGCATGCATACCAAAACCAACAGAAATAAAATGAATACGTTTTTTTTCATCTTAAACCTTTTTGACTTGGAAAATTACACTTGATCGATCAGTGCGACAAACGTAGTCTATAAGAACAATAAAAAAATTACAATACATTTTCGATTTCTGTGCCAGCGTGTATGCAACTAGTATTATTTGCTTAGAGCGTATGAAAATTTGTTATGTCTATATTAATGATATACATTATTAAAACGTCAAATTTGATATTTCAAAATCTGCATAAAAAAATAATAAGTATGTAATTTAAACATGAAATTTAATATGGCTTTCTCTAACTATGTGTTTTATGAATACACGAGTATTTTAATTAACGCACGTAATTAGCCACGATTAATCTCAAATAAATACGATGGTCATTGAGACGATGGTTAAAGTTAAATGAAAAAGTTTATTATTTGTCAATATTTAATTGCACTCTAAGCTATTAGTTAAAATAAAAATTCAACTTTTTATTTATTTACTATAATATTTATTTATATCAAGAGATTAAAGGAAGTTGTTAGTTTTATTCGTTTTTCTTTGTATAAACTATTTATAACAACAATTACTTAAATGAATTGGTTCACTTCAAGAATGTAAGATATATTTAATTATTACATTTTATTTATTTTCATATATCAAAGAGTTACAGCTCCTTGTTAAATGTTATAATTTCATCAGTGAGCCCACTTACTTAACTTAACCCAATGGATATAATAGAATATTTGTATGTCAAGCAATAAGTAATGAATAGTCAAAAATTGAATTACACGTATTATTAAAACCTACAGCTGTAAGAGAACACGTGTAGTTATAGATAAATGTCTAAGTACACAAATGTATGTGAACTACACTTATTATATTAAATTTGACAAAAAACCTTACCCCCTGTCCACCCTTTCAATATAAGAACAAATAATTGTCGTTATTTTACAAACATCATAAACGTCTTGTAGCATTTTTTTTTTTTACAATTTACTATATATATTAATTAATCACATCTTATTTTATATTTAGCATACGTACGTACATTTTATAACTTGTCTGAGTATAAATTATTAAAAAAAAATTTGATTCCTATTTTACCACACATAATAAAATCGAACAGAAAAATAAGGCAAGAAAAAATATATTCAGGTCGGCGAATTTAAACGTACTTTTTAAACTTGTAGTTTACGTCTAAAATAAAAAGTATTCAATATGAAAGCCGTAACCGTTTACTTTATAATATGTTTCCTATTTTTATCGTTGTATGTACAAAAAGGTCAGTATAAAATTATATTCACTTATGTTTAACTTAATAAGTCTTTTCATCTGCGAATTTTTAATAATAAACAACTGATTCTAATGTATTTTGATATACTCTTCAACGTGACGTGAAATAAAAAATATATACACTCATTGTAGTCTTTACCTCTATCATTCAATGCAAGTTAACCATTTGTTTTTAGGTGCAAATGAAAAATGCGATAACTTAAATAAAGGTGATATAGTTGGTGTTTTTATGACTAATAGTAAGTATAATCAATTTATTTGAAAAATAAAATAAAAACACTCATAAGTGGGATAACAACTGTATATTAAAGTCAATTGTTATGCTGTAACAAAATGCTGAAAACTAATTTCTGTACTAATTACAATAGAACAATTTTTATTTTTTACTGAAATTCTTACATACATAGTCTATAAATATGCAAAAATAAGTATAGTAATTTTTTTTCATTTAAGCGTTCAAAATGGCTTATGATGAGGTATTAGAAGGTAAAGAACACATTTGATGTACCGATATTCGCTTCTTAAATATATATCTAATAATGTAATACATTTTCTTTTCTTATAGAAGGAAAATCTCCGTTCGGAGATCAAGGTAATTTTTATAAATTTATGTATTTAAATACATGAAAAAATGAGTGTTAATGTCCAATACAGAAATTATTTTTTAAAAAATATTAGTAAAAATCTGTTAAATGTTGTAAAACTTGTTAAAAAACAACCAATTGCTTTATCTAAAGCTAATTTCAACAATTTTTTGTTCTAAAGAGCATAAAAAAGATTAAGCACTGAACCTAGTTAAAAAAAAAGACCTGTAAACCATTTTTAATATAATTGTAAATACTTTGTTAAGTTCGCTAAATGTATTATTCAAATTACTATATGTTTACTAAAAACAGGTAAACAATTTTGAAATTTTTCAATTGTTAGCTTGCCACTTATATTTATGTAATTTGTTATTTTGTTAATTAACTTGTTGTACCTAATCGTAGGACTTTCAAAGTATAACATAATAAAAGTGACCTTAGTAAATCATATGTTTAATTTAAAGTTGGTTTTATTCTATGATTAGTTGTACTCTATTATTGTAAAAAAAAAATTCTAAAACATACATTTAAAGCCAAATCTCGATGTAGCCTTCTTTAAAATTGTTTTTTTTTTTATAGAAATTTGTGAATATTTTGGTTATAAGTAAGTACAATAATATATTTATTACATGACCTAAGGATTGGTTAAAGATTAAATTATTGATTGATGTCTGTTTTCATTTTAAATCATAACATGAAGGACAAGTCCATTTTTTAATTACGATTTACAATTAATCATAAAGTAGCTTTTTTGATTATGCTTTTAAAATAAATCATTAAATGGTTTTTTCAGAGACGTTGACTTTGAGACGTACAAAACCAATGTGGTGAAATATCTCGGAAATCTGAGTAAGTTTGTAAAATGTTTTTTTTTATGAATTGTTGCTTTCTATGTTGTAGTTTTGTTTTGCACTTTAATAAATTGACATAGATCTATTGAAAGCGATAAAATCTAAATGTTAGAGGCTTCTAGATCTGCATGTTTTTAGTCGAAAATATCCCATTCTATTTTAAATAAACTCTGATACGCGTAATCCGATAATAGGGTTGAGAGCAGATACACAGGTTACTTATACATGAACTATATTATTAGTGATAAAAGGCAAACTTTAACACTATGTTTAGTTGACTTCGTTAAATTAAGCCTATGTTCATTGTATTGCAGACGTTTTGTGTAAAATTTCATGAATAGGTTTTTTGGCATGATAAAATTGTATTTCAAATTGTTCGGAAAGTAAACAGCCGAGTAGTACTTGTTTGGGCAAATAAAGTTTGATGCAACTCAAATTTTTAAACATTTTTAAATGTAATTTAATAAATTATTCAAACATTTTCAATAATTAATATTACTCAAACCATTGGACATTTAATACATTTTTTAAATATGAGATAAGAGTTTTGATAAGTAGGAAAATTCATACAAAATTGTATTCTTTATACATACCTTTCAATATAACTTAATACATTTCTTTTAAGGTCCAGGTGTGATTATAAAAAGTGAATCTTTAGCAAAGGGTGACTTAATTGGTGCTGTATCACCAAATAGTAAGTATATTAAATTTATTTCAAATATTAAAAAAAAGCCATAAGTAGGATATAGGCTAAAATATTTGTCGAAGTTTAATTTTAAAATTTAAATAAAATTTTTTTTTTACAATTTAGTAAGAATAAGTCTTTAAAATTTTATGAAAATATCTAAACCAAAATTTGTTTATTCAAATCATTTTTTTAAATATTTTTACTTCATACATGGTTTTGTCCAACAAGTCTGTGGAGGTATTTAAATGTTATATATTTTTAGCTCCGATGAGGATATTGAAGATATATAGGTTTTAAAATTTCTGGATATTTTATTTTTAATCTATATACATTATAATAATCATTTAATAGACTGATTCATTCAAGTCGCAACTCTAAATAGTACAATTGTATTTAGTTCGATTCAGGGAGAGGGTAACAGCTATCGCACGTGTTTGGAATCTAAATTTTACCATCTTTCAGCGTTATTTCTATTTTTCATCCGTAGATTTAGGACAGAGGTCTTAAGTTTTGAATTTAGTATTATTCACTTAATCAAAAAGTGTAAATAGTACAGTAAAAATAAACATTAGTTATAATATAAAAGGTTAAATCTAGCACGGGTTAAATTTTAAATTAGTACAGACAAATAATGTTTCAGTAGTTCATCCGAAACGTTCCAATGAGTCAGTGCCGTTTTGTCATACAGTCGGGTTCTGGTCTACTACATTTTTCTGTATAATAATAATTATAATATTTTCGTCGGCAAAAGAAAAATAAAATAATAAAAACTTTGCACGCAATTATATTGTAGGACTAATACATTTTTTTATACGTTTTTATTATGCCGTGTTGGTCTACGATAAAAATGACACCGTGTTCGCGTTCCGCCCGATCGGTACGAATCTAAATTTCGCGATTAAATAGTTTGTCCTAAAGTTTTTTTTAGCTTCGGTGCGGAGCTGAGAAGGTATTGTTTTTACAATGATGTGTTTTTTTTTTTGTGTCTGAACCCACGATATCTCGTAAACTGCTAAACAGATTACTTCGTGTAGCGACTATATAGATCAGAAATCATACCTGAAGGTACTTTGTTGGGCCAAAATTAAAAAAAAGTCACCCCTTCCCCATCAAAATTGAAAAAAACACTAAAAAAATTTACAAATTTTTCAACTTAAAATTACGATGCTCTATAATTTTTTTAAAAATAGTCGAAAAAGTTCCAAATTTATATGAATTGTTCTTCAATATAGTACTATCGATAAACATTAACAAACCAAAAAAATATCATAAACCCTTTCCCCTAGAAGGGATAGAATTTTTTTCTTTATTTCACTTATTCAAGCAAAGTTTTAGATATTTAGATCTGAAAGTTAGACCAAAGGTAGATCTAAAATGGAAGTATAACATATACAGTTTTCTCAAAAATCTGTAGTCAAACTTTTTTTTTATTAAGGAAAAACTCCAAAAATAGGATAAATTTACACTTTGGCCGTAGTCAGTTTTTAGGTTACTATGTGTGAGTGAATCAACAGTCAACCGGTAATGAAAATATTTTCGTCAGATTGTTAATTACGATAAATGGGTAACTATGATAGTACATTTTTATAGACAGACGATCAACCCTTATCGTATCCACCTTGCACAAGACTAAATATTAAATTTTAAGTACATTATTGCTGGTCCTACGATATCTTCTAAACCGCTATAACTGGTTTGAACCTACTATCCACAGATTCGCATCGAAGCGTTTATTTAAAAGTGATTTTATCACTTTCAGTTATAACAAAATCTGTAGACCTGTGACCTCTCCGTCACCACTATGCCCCGACCCAACTGTACTGGCTTTTTTTTTAAAATTATTTTATCATCGTTAGGTATTTATTATTATTATTTCTATCTGTTATTATTGTGAGCTACTATCTTAATTATTATGTGTACTCTGTTGCCCTTACGAGCGTAAATTCTTTAAATAAATCTGTATTAAGTTTTAACCAAGCGTATTTAGTATTGATAAGTATAAAAAAACTAGTTGAAATGGTCTGAACGTTTTAAATATTTAGAGTTATAACTTGAGGGTTTTTTTATTTCAGCTCCTGGAATAACTTATAGAGTGGTAAAGCAAGGTATAGTGCACCTATGACATACCGATATTAGCTTTTTAGATAAATTTATCTATAATATAATATATATTTGTTTTCTTACAGATGGTGAATATCCGTTTGATAATGAAAGTAATTATACATTTTTTTCGTGGTACATTATACAATATGTCAGTACACATTGTTAATATAAAACCTCTTCATACATGTATCAAAGTGAAAAAAATAATTTGTACTTCTTTCTTTAAAGCTCATTAAGACGTATTTGAAAGATGACAAAAAAAAAAAAAAAATACTAAAATCTTTTTAAAGATTTTCCCTACATATTGTATTATAAAAAAATATACTTAGTTTAAGTCCCCTTTAAGTAACACGAAAGTACCAAATCATAGGACTTTTAAAGTAAACCCTAAGAAAAGCGACCTTAATAAATAAATTCTATAATTGTAACGTTGGTTTTATTATACGATTGGCTGTTCTGGCATGTTTTTAGTAAAAATAAACTTTTTTGCAACATATAAATCCAAAAATTCAATATTTTTTCTTTAAAAATGTTTTCTTACAGCGATGGTTGCATATTATAGTACCGCGTAAGTGATAACGTTGTAATTTATTTGTTAATTTGATTTTTTTTAATAATTGATAATTCTAAAGCTAAGTCGACTTGTTAAAATAAATAATATATTATTTGTCTGGCTTTTTTAATATTATATGTATAGTAAGGGATTTCATAATATATTTTGTATTGCGTTTATGTACGATTTTTAATCAATAAATTAGATTATTGACTGTGTTTTTTCATCTCCACCCAAACATGATGTAGAATTTTCGTTTATAATTTTACATTTACAATTTAAAGACAAGTAGCGTATTTTTCGATATTTTTTTTTATAATAACTTATTTGGTGGTTTACAGGCATCCCGGCTATATGACCATGCTGAAAAAATATCTTAGAGAACCAGCACCGCTTTGGGTAACTGATATGGCTGACGAACTGCACCTATTATATAATAGTTAGTTTTTATAATAACTGAGTACAATTCAGTTGTATGTTACATTTTTTTTTTAAATAAAGTAAATTATTATATTGTTTAAATAGTGTGGCTATCTATAACATTTATAATCAATGGTAGTAGGTACGTGTGTTATTTGTTGAAATAATAATTAATATTTTATATACCAGGAAGTATTTCGCTATATAAATATGTTAAACTTTAACTCATTATACAATCTTATCTCAGTGTAAAACATTCAATCAAGACAGGACTTAGTCTACAATAACGAGAATAACGACCATAAAATATCACAGTTAGTATTCATATTATAACACGGCAGCTGTAGGTAGAGGCATGTCTAAATAGGTTACTGCATATATTTTGTTTCTTATCGATATACGTTGAATGTTATTGTGTTGTGTATTTACATTTAGTTGTCACTTTTTAAATTATTACCAACGATAATAATAATAAGTAAATATAATGGGACTCCATCAAGTGTGCAAAATATCCAGGAGTACAAAAAGCCTCTCTTGTCAGCTGTGTTTATAAAAATACTAATAACTCAAAAACAAATCAATATTTTCGAAAATAAATCAAAAAACGTTTTTATTATTTCAATTTCAAATCTATTTTTAAAAAAAAAAATAGTGGTTGGCATTAGAAAATCAAAAGTTGGTATCGACTTTTGTAGAAGGGAGTGTAGTATATTTATGTCAACTATATCAAATAAGATTTTACGACTTCAATAGTATATAATATGCACATGTAATATGACTCATTGATTTTAAAACTTGCACCAGAATAATACCATGTAATATGCAAATTATACCAATAAAACAAAACACATATAGTACGCTGAATCTCAGAATCAGAAAATGACGTTCATAGCTCCCTCCACAAACACTGGGTAAAAGCGTTCAGTCCTTGTGCTTATTACCCATTGTAACAGGACAATAGTTGTCATTTGTCTGTAGTCACTCGTCTTATTCAGTCGTCAGTCGAATGTAACTCTCTATGGCCAAGAGGCCATAGAGAAAGCGTACGGTCCGACGACCATTTCTTAAGTCCAGTCGTTTAGCCATGCTTAACTGCTACTTACCAATCATTTAATTAGCAAGGCACGAAAGTATGATTAACTATTCTTATGTAAATGTGTATAGCTCAACTCAGTGTATTAGTGTAAAAACTTATTATTAGAAACAAAGTGTTCATCTATTATTTTACTTGATCATTTGATTATTTTACTATAACTTAGTTTTCTTAAATAGTCCGGTTATAGTTATCCTGGTTCTCTATATTTCTTGGGAAGCTAATACAGCCCAGGAATACAATTTTATTGATTACCAATTGGTTGGGTGTTTTCGATAAGAATTGGATATTTTATGTAATTAAATAGTTACTATAAAGTGTTTGGTAAAGGAGAGTAGTCGTCTTTAAGTGGGGTAGTATACCTTTCTTTATTAAGACTGGTAGCCTTGGAATTAGAAAACCAAATGGACTTAACTTCCAAACGAGTTTTGTGTAGTCCCTCAACTAGTAGTCAAGCAGCCTGAAAGGGGATAATCAAAGCTAAAGAGTATAAAATACAAACGATAGTTTGATCTATGTAAAAATCATCATACGCTGAGTCGGCCGTAGATGTATTATACGTAAATATACGTGTCAGAAAAACATATCGACACCTAAAAAAGACGACTGATATACAGTAGACGCAAGTGTATTTCGTTAAAAGATCTAAGTAATAAATTAACTAAATCTACAAAGCTGCTACCCCGAGATCGTCCAAACCTGTGCGTACAAAAAAACATATAACACATATTAAAGAGTAAAAATAGAATTAAAAGAAACTAGGACACAATAGGAATTGAATCAGCACACAATCCAATATCATATCTACAAATCTAAAATATTAAACTTCTTCGTATTGGTAGTCAATACCTACTTATTGTCGTTATTTGCAGTTAAAATACATCTGCATTGATATTGTAATGGAATCAAAATATTACTGGCGATGACTCAAGTACAATAATATGTAGCAGTGGCGCCGAGTCAAGGTAAAAAAGGTGGTTCAGTTCTAACCGAGAACCACCCACCCACCCAATTCATAATTAATACAATAATAATAAATTATTATTGTACATATGATAAAAAATGTAAACATTATTTTTCAAATTGTCAGTAACTGACATCAAATTGTAGTGATGATAACTATTGATTTTAAATAGTAACACATAGTAATTTTTACGCTAGTGTATAAATTGTTATTGAATCTTATTATTATATAATATCTTATTATATTTTATTATTATTTATGATGTACGAATATATAAGTGTAATTTCCGGAACGGTATTAGTAGGGACAGGTATTTATGTATACCGGCGGTGGTGGATGGTAAGTACCTAAAAATAAACAGCATGTAACACTTAAGGCTCTATACAATTTCGATCACTAAAAATATTAGTTAGATCAGGTTAGGCTAGGTAAACTTTTAGTCTTAAAGCGTAGTAACTAAAAGGAAAAATATATATATCCATTATACATGTGTAATACAATAATACATTGTATAGCAGATAACATTTAAAATTTTCCACAATTAATATAAATCTATATATTAAAAATGCATAAAAATGAATGCCTGCCTGTTTGTTCATTAATGTAACTGGAAATATTTTGTATTTAAAGGAGTCAAACAAACAAGCTGTTTACCACACTAAACGGAGCTGTCCGAAGTTAAAGAAAACCATCAAACACAAATTGAAAAAATGAGAGATGAGATTAATGCAGAACGCAAATGTAAGGATGCCTTGAAAGAAAAACTTCAAGTAACGATAGCCGAACACCAAGAACAAATTCGAACAGTATAATTTAGAAAAAAAGCAAACTTACTCGTCGACCATATGAGCAACCAGAGTTTAGCAGCCAAAACCTAACCTAACCTTACCTAGCCGATAAGGCAACAGCCAGCCGGTCGTGACCTTAACTGGTTGAGGCCGGCAAAGGGAACCAACCTGTCCTTCGCTCATACGCCCTACAGATAGGCAGGGCAGCCACGAGATAAGCCGTACCCCCGGGATTAGACGAATAAGTGGCGGCGACAATGGGGTTATGTCGGGAGGACGGTCAGCTCCCGGCATCTTGGAAGACCAGACAGAATTGGAACACGGACAGCTGGAGAAAACAGGCAGAAGGGTAAAACTGCACTCGAGCACTTACATTATGAAACACAACGATATGAAGAACAAAACTCCTGGAGCCCTCCTAACGGGAGGGGTCGGACTCCAAGGAACGGCAGTTGGGTGTGGCTCGCCCCAAAGGTCGGTATATCAAGCCAGCAGCACGACTGCTGGTAGCCCTGAACCGAGAGTGGTTGACCAGGTACGAAAAGTGGGAGAAACAGAAACATGCAACAGAACTGAAATATGGACCACTGCAAAACTGGATTTTATTATAGCGATTACGACAACTTTGAACCTACGATACGTTATTTTAGTCTTGTCGGAAGACAGTTTGCCGACCAGTATTACCAGCGGTTTAAGTTACTACACTAGCTACTCCAGTGTAGAAAACCACGAAGACGTCAAAGTAGACGCCCAAATGAATCAACCTTTGGCCAAGACGTTGACTACACAGCTCAGCTGGAAGGCCGTTGGCAAATAGAGACCAGCTGGAAGTTATTTAACGGTCGTTGCCGAGGCGGAATGTACTAGCACGTCTATTCCAAGAGGAAAGTTAGATTCGAGAGAATGCGGTGAACGTCCGGCGTTCCTATTTTTGTGATCAGCTGATTGTGTGCCTATTCTAAAACACGGGCAACGCCGGGTCGGGCAGCTATATGCCGAAACGAATACGTTATTTGTTATTGATAACTATTGATACTATTAATAATCATAAAAAAAAATGTTTTGGGGTGGACCACCCTTATCACTTAGGGGTATGGAAAATAGTATACTGTTAAATCTGTTACGAAAAAAGAAGTATACCAAAATTACTCAGAACGCACGCCTTACTTGCTGTTTTATTTGAGAAAAGTTTTGTAAAATATTTAAGAAAAAGCTAACAGATTCGACCCAAAATGTGTTGTTTTATTTTATTTTTTTTTATTTATGTTTATGCATACATTTTTTTCATCAAATATCTTTATGGATGTTTTTTGCAACTAAAGTAATATATTATAAGCTGTAAACAAAAAAAGGCAGCCATTTTCTGCGTGGCTCAAAATGAATAAGTTATATGATATATATATTTGTATACTAATGGCTTATATTATGGTTTATTTTCATCATATATTTATATTATTCCAATTTTCGATTGTAAATAAAAATTTTATTTTCAATTTGTACTATTATTATATTGTACATAACTTATATTTTTATACCTCACACATGTGATCATACTTATGTAATTTACTAATTATGTACTTATACTTGAGCCTTCCAGGTGTTAATTCAATAAAATAAAATAAATCATAAAATATTATTAAACATAATATCCTATGTGACTAAAAACTCTAAATAACTAATACCTATGTATTATTTATAAATACCTAAAATAATATTTGTAATTTTTATATTTGTTTTAGCGACTGATAACCGACGCAGTCGTAGGAGCATTGAAGTACGAAGCGTACATACATATTTTTAACAGATGTTTTGGGTAATTCTACAGCCAGGATCCTACTCATACAGACATTTCACATTTTCCTACACACACACACGACGTTATCATTATTTTAACAGTAGTATTGGTTTACCAATACCAAATAATTAAAAAGCCGCCCACGTTTTGGAAAGTGTTCCATTTCTATGTTTTAATTAATCCTTAATTGTCACTTTATTTTAACAAAAGGCTCTGACAAAGAATATTAATAAGTGATTAATTTTAATCCAAGTGTTCTTGTACTATGAACGAATTTTCATTTTTAGCGTGTAGCCGATCAATGGTGGCGGTTCCATGATTCGAAATACAACCAGCTAATAACAATTGTTGTGCTTCACACTATAAATCGTATACATGTAAATAGGCCACAAAACAATTATTACACATATCTTTACAAAAACATTTTTTTTTCAATTTATATACTGGAACACTTATTGAGGAAAATGTTTAGGTGAGTATTAACAGCTCTGTAAAAGCAGTCAAGAGAAAGGTGTCCGATTCTAGTGTGGCCACGGGAGTCGTTAAACGAGACCCCGGTCGTCCAAAATAAATACACAAAGAAGATGAGACCTATGTCAAAGGAAAAGGCTTAAAGTTAAATTGTAGTACAAAGACCAACAAAAAAATCTCCAGTTCCTCTTGCTTGATCTCTTACCGCCTACAGAAACTGATGAGAGCTAGATGTTCATTCTCGTTTAAAATTTTAATATTAATGTTATTAAATTTGTGTCAAGTAAATCCTTTATCGTTTGTTCACATCCTCGTTCTTTTCTGAACACATGAAGAAGCGAATAGATAGCGTTTCATGCTTTTCCATAATTTTAACCAATAATACTGCATTATTACTATTCAGCCAATACATGGACATCATCAATAGAAAGTAAATTGTTGTAAGGAAAACAACGATTCCACAAAATAGACACAGTTTACAATTGTAGAATTAAGCGAAGGTAGTGTTAGTAAATTATAACAATTCAAACATTTGTGTTGCTATTTAATAAGTGTTTGTAGTTTTTACCCGAGGAAGAAATTTCACTGTTAGCACTCAAGGAAAATACATATATAGAGTCGGTTTACCGGTTAGCGTGTGAAGAGCAATTGGTGTGGCTACCGTTGCCGAAATTTGACCACATAGCGCTATGCAATTGGTTGGTGTCACTAGAAAAACGGCAGGTCAGGGATAAGATAGTGGCGAAAGCGGTGAGCCGGTTCAGGTAGATCTAGAGGGCGACGGCTTTGGCGTACGACGATGTGTTGGACACAAAGAAACTAAGAAGTCTGTGGAAGTGGTTTGAAGAACGCATCGAGTCCGAGCTGAAAGTCTACAGCGGTCACCGCGCTGAAGTCGACGACATACGCCGCGTCATAGCTGCGAACACACTTGCAAGCCCTTTAACATTTTTGAAACTCGCAAACTAAAAACACAAATAAAATAAATATAAGATACACGATATTTTAACAATTACATTTATTCCACATAATAATATATTTCTATTTCTCACACAGAAGTTATTATATATAGAATATAAATCTAGATATTATAGAGTTTCACAACTACCGTTTGATAGGTGTGGTAGACAGGTACTATTATGATATTCTAACGAAAGCAAAATAGCATGATTTGGTTGTTGAATTTACCGGTTGCCAAAAATAATTAACGTGAACAACAACAAATTTCATTTAGGTTATGACAGGAGAGCATAAACGCAACAAAACTGTAAAAAGCAACTATGATTGTCTCTAAGTTTTTTAATTAATAAAAAAATAAAAACACTCAAGTTACAGTATTGTTTGTATTTTGTTTGCACATAAAATAAAAAAGTTTGAAATTTGTGATAATACCATACATAACTGTATTTTATTAAAAAACTTTATTCATATAGTCTATAGAACCGATATTATTTAACTTCACTAGGCGCCTAAATATGTGTAATATGCATAGGTGGGTATATAATTATCTATGATGTGTTCTAAAAATAAGGTATCATATATACAAAACAATTATTAACCCTTAGAAAACACCTACCTACACTTGATAAATTGCATATTGGAACTGTATATACCACCGAGACTTTGAAGACGTTTTCCTTTTTTTTAAAAAAAAATCTGTAAACAATAAAAACAACTTTATGTAATATTAAATATTGCTATCCGCAAATAGAACGTTACAGAAACTGACTGTATCTTTCAAAATACAAATATTACTACCACTTAGCAACGTAAGAAATAGCAGCCAGCAAAAAAAAAATAGAACCTAAATGTTCATCTCTTCTGAAGAATAAGATTTTTTATATGGTTTTGTTTTTCCTAAGCTTATCAGTAGTGCACTAACTAAAGGATAGAACCCATGTAAAGTACTATCTAATTTGGCTATTAAAAAAAAAAAAAAATCTCGCGATAATTTAAAATTAAAAACGTGTATATTTTTTGGGCGTTTTTCTTTATTTTGAAGGGGAAGGGGTGAAGTTTTCAAATGTTTGACCTGCTATAAAATATACTCCCAGACTTCAATGGACAAATGAAAATACATTATTGTAAAAAACGTCATTATCTTGTCATCTCCGCATCGAAATAAAAAATAAAACAAATGCTACAATTGGTTAATGAGTACCTATTATGTTCACGGAGAAACATTTACAAATTTAATTTCGGGTTTTCTTACATTTTTCTGGGACTTTACATAACAGCGTATAAATAATATTTAATAAAAAATATGTTTTGAAATTAAATGTCGAGCTATATAACAACAGTATGTTGTCAACAAAATTTTCCCGAAGTTATGGGAAACAGTTCAATTGTAAAAAATTTAGTTTAAGATACGGATTTGGTGTGGGAAAACCTGGACGAAGTGAAATTGTAATGAAAAAGAACGCTACCCCGACCAATGAAATTTTTCTACCGCTATAGCGTTATTATAGTACCTAATATAAAACTTGGACTTATAATACTTACATTAACATCATTATGCTGTATGAAAAAAAACCAATAAAAAAAAATACGTTAAAAACTTAAAAATGCACACCGTCACCATTCGGCGTTCAATGCGAAAATACAAATGAAATGAATGCAGAATGAGAACAGTTCGTATAATAATTTAATGTACCAACCATCGCCATAGACCAGACAAATCGAAATGACGCGACGCGACGTTGCCAAGTCATCGGTAAAAACCCTCCGAAATTCAAAAATAGTTTGTCAGCATTTATTTTTTTGTTCACTTAGCTCATTTAAAATAATACAAATAGATTAATTTAATATAAAAATGTATTATACATTTTAAATATATTTACAGAAACAACTAAAATGACTATTAACAGTATATTGCCGTGCTATGACATAATATAATATATTTTATCCTTGACATAAGGTAATTGAGGGATGTAATGTATGATATTATTATTATTATATTATAATATACGTATAAACGTAAGAGTGTTCCTTAAGCAATACGCATGGGCAAAAAAATTCTTATTTAACTCAGGTCTCAACCCCCTCCCCCTCCCCCCAAATGTGTGTCTATTAAATATATTAGGTACAAAACTAGACTAAATACAAATTCAAACAACGATTTTAAACCGTCGTATTATAGGTGTAATCGGAAATTTGAAGCTAAACACTAGTTTTGATAAGGAATTAGTTATTTTTTCTACTGAACATTTTTTATTTTGTAAAATATCTCTTGTAAATAATTGTAATAATATCATAAAATATTCGTAATCTAATATTAAACATTAGATTACCATTATTCATATTTCGAGTGATAATCGAACTATTTTTATTATGTAATTCAAATTGATTTTTTATCATCTCTATTTTAGTAGTTCATAGTTTATTATATAATTGTTCAATATTTAATATCATTAACATTAGACCTATGGATGAAATCGAGGTATTAAAAATAACAAAAGAATGTAAAGACTAATTAAAAGGATTTTAAGATTAAGAAAGTTGGCTCAAAAACAAACTCAACTACTGAATACGGAGCATTTTAAATTCGAAATACGTTTTAAGAAAATACCGTTAATATTTGTAGCTGCCTACTGATATAGCATCAGCAATTTCATTGCGCAGCATTAGTCCAAAGGCATACACATTTTTGCGTGGAAGAAAAAATTATCCCCTCCTTGGTCACTATAAAAATTGTATAAGGTCAACGACAGGGGCCCAATTAATATGAGTTTATGGAGAGATTTGAAAATATCTATTGATAATGTGTCTTTTCCACACTCGATTACATCGCACAGTATTTATGTATTTGCTGATGTGCCACACATGTTAAAGTTGGCTAGAAATCATTTTTTGACGAGTAAGGAAGTCCTTAAATTTAATTGACAGTGAAGCTTGAATAATATAATTTTTAAACTAAATTTGCAGAGGATTCGTTTTACCAAATAAAAAGTTTGTAGGCAAAACGATTATAAAGGAATTAATACCCATCAATGATCGAAATGATTTTAAAATTGCTCACAAAATAAGTGAGCGTAATATTTCGGTTGAGGGAACGTCACGAATAAATGTAAGAATGGCAAAACACATTTTGAGTGCATCGGACACACTTCTTCCTTTTCAAAAAGGTGAGATTTTAAAATTTGTGAATTTTTGTTAACAGTTTTTTTTTTTTAGGAACTATAATATCTAACAATTTATTCGTTAATAAAATTATGAGATGATGTAAGCAGCAGATATGACGTCGATTATGTTACATAAACCAGGATTTACTTGAAAATACCTTCAGTTATTTGAAAGAGATGTCTGGTAGAGTAAGTACCGCAATGAACAGTATATTTTACTTGTGTCAAATTCGTTATTAGTTATTATCACAACAAACACGTAATAACCCATAGAGTTATTTCCATGGTGATAACACACGATACGTTAACAACATAATCATCAACGCGAAATACCTTTATCACTTTTGTTATTGTTGTTCAAAATAAAAAAATTACGTTGGATCGTACGACATTCTATGGTATGGCGTAATGTACAAATTGGTACCGGTCGGAAATTTTCAAAAAGCTCTAATTCACTTACCCGCTTTTATTTCCGATAAACATGCTCGATTTCATTTGTATGCCAAGTCTGTTGCTCTGTGCACGGTGGCCGGTAGCTTAGGATGGTTCGGATACCAAATCCATCAGACGGCTTACTCTATTCGAAACATTGTTCAAAAAGATGCTTTCTTGCTGAACAACCACAAAACGCCAGAGTATATTTTCTTGAATAAGGCTCTGTATACAGGTGAGGTGCAGCAAAAATAAAATAAATCACATTTCACTTTTGCTACGGTGTTTATTTGAATTCTTGTTTAGATCTCGATAAATACCGTATCATCGACAGTAACGGTCTACTGCAACCGACAAATCCACTTGTATATTTTTTCCAGACATGGGACAATATAAAGTTCAAAAAAGCCGTGAAACTATTGGAATTGGGCAATAAGTGTAATAATCCAAACATTTCTTTAGCGGCCACTCATCGTCTAGCGACAATGGCTTATTTGAAAGGTAGTGAAAATAAAATCTACCTATACTCTTGAATAATGTTTAAACTAAACATTTTTTTTTTTAGATGCTGATTGTCAAGACATAGTGCAGATGAGCAAAGCACATACTATGGTTGGTTTTGCTAGGACTAATAATGTACATCAGAGTTTTTTTTTACCTACTCAAAAATCTCGTTGGACTAAAAACGTAATAGTTGTACGTACATAGTTCTGGTTTAAATTATTAACACCTTAATAATTTAGGAAACTTTGAGTAAATTGCGTGAACTGTTGATTAAACTAAACGGAATGAGTGAGCACACGTGTCTGTCTTTTTTTGTTGCTTTTGCATTTAAAGTAAGTACCGTCAAACCGGCCAACTGGGTAATTATAGGTAATTTGGGGCATGTGGGTATAATTATACCTATAATTACCCAAATTACCCATAATGCTCCAAGTTGGCCGGTTTGACTGTAAAATAATGTTTTCAAAAGTATCATATCAAGACTTAATTTTATATTTAGGATCACACACACGAGTATTTTCATCCAGAAGACGTACCACCCGATTTTAGGAGCATGCACGTGGACAATGATAATATATTCCAGTTATGTATTAGTGCATTACGTCATCATTGTAGTAATGAAAAAAATGTAACAGGTTTGTTATTCGATAAATTTCCGACATCTGTAAGCTTTCAACGGCCTTCGTAGTACATCATAATATTTTTTATATAAGACCATTGATTATACATATTATATATGTTCCACCAAGACAAATTTCACTACTGTACACCGACATAGGGCAATGGAAAAGATACTACTAGCGCTCGTCCCGTGTCGGCGTACAACATTAATATTTGTCTCGGCGCGCCATCTATAATATTTATAATCAATAACAGAACTAATAGAATGTTTTCAATTAATCATTGTACTCATTAAATTATTTTTCTTACAGATATGGTAAAACAAGGTGGATTACTTATTTTAATGGCCATCTACCAACTATTAAAGGACGATCAAAATATAGCTGAAGAGATCAGTCAACTATTAACAGCTGCCTCTTTGTATTCAAATCTTTGCGAAGATATCTTTCTAACAGGTATTTTTTAATATCATGGGCTATGTATTTGAATTTTATAACTGATAATTTTAGGATGGATCAGTGTGCTGTTTGATTGGAAAAACCACCACAACTTTAGAGTTAAGTCGTGGGCCAACACAACACTATTAAATTTAGACAATAAAGATCCCGTTAATGGTAGTAACCTCTACAGCAAAAACACAGTTTTGTTGTACCCTAAAAACCGAAACCAACAAGATGCCAAAATCGATGTTGTCCTCGTTCACGGTCTATTGGGTGGTGTCAGTTTCTCTTGGCGTGAAAAAGATCTGCACACCAACAAACCACTTGGAATTCTCGGTATGCAATTTAAAAAATATTGATATTATAAAAAATGCATTGATCCAATATTCTGTTTAGGGGCTTATAAATCTGAAACTCTGAGATCGTATACTTCATTAAAAAAGTCCGTTGGTGAAGATATACAAGATTATTTAGAAAATTATACTGAAGTGGAAGATCGGGAATGGGACGAAATCGGTAATGACTTTGAATTCGTAATGAACGATTTGCCTATTAATGACAATATCAAAGGAAACGAACCCTACACATTAGACGGGTAAATTATTTTAATTTTAATACTCTAACGGTTATTTTGAATCATTATTTATGTATAGATCTTTAGCGACAGTACGAAAAAATGCCTCGTGTGAAGGGTACAGTCAGTGTTGGCCGTCTGACTGGTTACCCATAGACCAGGATGGTCTTCGTGTAGTTGGTGTTAACTATAGTTCGACTTTATCCGAATGGTTGCCTTCATGTCCTTTAAAATCAAGAAAGTATGAGTTCCCTTTTGTGTATTCAAATTCATTATATTATATTTTTATAATACATATGTTTTACACTTGTATTTATGTGTTAGACAGCGAACACTAGAAGGACGAGCTGAAAAGTTAATGAATCAACTGTTAGCGATTGGTATTGGAGACAGACCAGTGATATTTCTTGCACATTCTATGGGTGGACTTCTTGTAAAAAGCATGTTGGTTGCGGGTGAATTTATTTGATATTCTAAGGGCCTGTTAGACATCTACACGTTTTTATACATTACTTAAGCATAACATTCCCACCTATGCATAATATGGGCCTACCATATGCATTAAATGTGTAATGGGCCGATCGCATTAATGTAAACAAAGATTATTTTTACAATTTGTAGCAATGTTACATAGAGTTCATTTTAGAAGAAAAAAAATCAGTCACCGTTAGTTATTATTAATCTGTAAAAATAATTTTATGAAATTTGTTCAGCACGTAACAGTAGTGACCCAAATGTGAGAAAACTTTTTGAGAAGACACGTTCAGTATTTTTTTTTAGCACTCCTCATCACGGTTCTCCGTTGGCCACTCTCAACACTGCGTATAGATTTATTTTGTGGCCATCAGTCGAAGTAGATGAACTTAGAACTGGTTGGTTAAATCTTAACAATAATAAGAACCGCTTGGTTTAAAAATGGATCTAAATTAAAAAATAAATACATTTTTTTAGATTCGCCAAAATTAGTGTCTCTTCATGGCGAATTTCTTAAATGCTTAGAAGAAAACCCAATGAAAATAGTGACTTTTGCCGAAAGTCTTCCAACAGAGTTCACTGCTTTGAAAGTACCGATTTTATGTGTTCCTGTTCAAGCAGCCAGTAAGACTATAATGACACACAATTTTTACCTAATATTTAAACCTGAAGTTATGAATAATTATGAATTAATTTGTCATATACTATTTATTACTTAGACCCTTCAGTTGGAGAGCTTTATGAATTGCCGTTGAACCACATGTCTATCTGCAAAGCCGAATCTAAGTTAGTTGTTAAATAATTATTTCAATAATTGACTATTTTAGATCAATGATTATAATATATTTATATTATATTTTAATGTTGCATCTATAAGCAAATTTAGATTTGCAATTAACTTGACAATCAATTATTTTTTTACATTTTGCAACTTTTTACAGTTGATTATTTTTATTTTTTTTTGGAAAAAAAAACAAATAATTTAACGAAAGCTAGATTTTTACAAGTGACTCCTAAGTATAATCATAAAAATCTTGATTTGAGCATATAAAATTGAGCGGAGAAATTTACCTTTTATACAGATCAAATTGTATTATTATTTTTGTGACTTTAATGAATTATTTGGGATTAACTGTCTTTTGACCAAATTTGTTTTGGCCAAGTTTCCGGAAATAAAAATAAAATAAAATAAATACTCGTATGGCATTATTGACCGGGAAAGAGGCACTATAGTATAATATAATGGGTATTTTTTTAAAACTTTTAATGTTGTTTTAAAGTTTACTATATTATAATATTTATAAACATTTTTTTGTTTTTTTAGGTTGTCATTTGTTTACCAAAAAACTTTGTCTGTGATAAATACAATTGCTGCTTACAGTAACTAAGATGAATGAAAAGTTTTCATTAAGTATAGCCGTTAGTGAATACTTTATTTTATATAATTGACCAAACTAAATAATGTTATGATTAGCTCATACCCGACTACTTAGTGATATTAGTTTAAGTTAATTGTTATTACTTAATACCACAGTATTGACATTTTATAATTTAATCGAGTATAAATTGATTTTAATACACTATGAATTTGAATGTTTGATAAAAAATGTTTGTATTACTATGTACTTTGTCCATACGTGTTATTTTTATTTTTGAATCGCCTCTATCCATAAATCGCGTGCGTCTAATGCGTTTGGGTACAGGAAATAGTTCCTGAAATATTATTTTTATTATTCTATTGTACTAAATAAAATATTTCTTGTCTTTATTTACGCTTTAAAAGTAATATAGAAACAAATATTTTATATTGCTGAAGTTTGTTATCTCAAAACCATATTGTAAATTAATTAATTTTTTAATATATTTATATTATTTATTACATATTAATATGGTTACACGAAAAATAGAACAATATATTGTTAGATTTAAGTTGCAATTAAATATATTAATGAAGCTAGTTAGGATGTACAAGAGGAACGATCATCATACATTAAAAAGTTTAACAAAATGGAACCGCTAATAACTATTTTGAAAATATTTTTTACCTATGTTTTTCCAACAATTTGGAATTTTTTACTTGATTCTTTTCCCTTTTTTTACATCTATTTAATTACGATAAAGACAATTTTCAAATGATTACCGTTACATAAAAAAAAATGTAGATACCAAATTTTACAATTTGCCCGTTAATATATTTTGAACCAAGACGTATAGTTTTTTTATGTGTTTATTTAGCCATCGCAGCTGTATCGCAAAAATAAAAGACATTCTTCTCAAGTATAGCATAATAACAGCCGTCAACAAAAGTCACCGATTGTTTAAAATCGTTACACTGTTTTGCACAATAGTTATTGTTACTCTAAGTAATTAGTATGGGAAAAGAATCAATATATCGACTGTTATAAATCGGTCAAAATTTTCTTTAAAAAGTCGACATTCATGGTATAGTATTAAGTATGGTATGGTACTTCAAACCCTTAGGAAATGTACTATGCCTTTTCAGTCGTTATTTGGCTATATTTGTTTCCTTTTACTACTTTTTGCGCATCGATAAAGAAAACAAAATGATTAATCGTTGTAAAGCAAACACCTAATATTAATAAAACGTTTACCTTCAAGTATAGGTAATATTACGAAAACATGTTATTCTGATATTTTCGATAAATCAAAATACACTAAAAATTGATAGATTCATTAAGGACAGGACACTCATATTCTCTTAAAATAATAGCATATTTGTAGTTTTTATAATCGGAGACACTTAATATAGTTAGTAGTTAATTTGTTGGTAGTTAATTTCCAATATTATAAAATTACTAAACATTTACATTTTTTTTCACAGCTCAGATTTACAGAATCTTAGTGGTACTAGAAAAAAAAATTAAACTTCACTCCACCCTTCCTCCTTAAATTTTTAAGCTAAAGAGCTCCAAAGGTAATTATCCAAATGGGGGTTCGACCAGTCTACTATTCAGAAAATTATTCTTAGTTTAAATAGTATGTTAAAGTTATACGTCACAGATATACGTTATAGAAAATTCTTGAAACATTTGTTTTACATACTAACTAAAAACTATGTTTTCATCATAGTTCGAAACGGGATGCGTACAACTAGTATTTTTTAAAAGCCGTTTTTATATTTTCAAAAAATCAACTTCTTGCTGCATCGTTCGTTTTACTCCAAAATCAAAAGAAAAAGAAAATTTTACCAAATCAAATTTTATTTTTCTTTATCTTATTTTACAACGTGTAACCATTTTTAATATCAATTTTTTTTGTTTTTTTGAAAATTTAACCGTACTTATTCCATCTTTAAACTATGATGAAAACATTTGGTCCGAGCGTCCAATAAAACAAGTTTTATCAATCTTAAAAATACCCATTGCTTCGTGTTCCGCTCAATTGCAAAATATTTAAAATGACAGTGACCATTAAAGATAGTGAACAATTTTCAACGAATTAGGGGTCTCATTTTAGGCCAATACAAACCAATAAGTCGTTAATGACAAGACCATGACATAGGTGTATACATTTTTTTAATTGTTAGAGAGTTGGCATGTGGCATTTAAAAGTATAATTTTCTATGAAAGTATTATTTATCGAATTTTGGCCTAACAGTTAACACGAAAATACATTTATCTTACTTTAGAAAAACACTTGGGTGCTGTGGCCTAGGTTTACATTTACACTGTTTACATAAATGAAAATATACCCCGAATATACTCCGTTAAGTTCACGGAAGTGTACTTAACAACTTCCCAAAGTTTCACGGCGGTTGGATGAATGGTGTACTAATGCATAAAGGACAAACAAAGACACAAACAAGAATAATGTGGTATGGCTTTTATAAAATGTGTAATAAATATAATATCTGTTGTTTTTCTTTTTTAAACCGATAAATTTGCTACATGAGTGATCATGATATTTTTTGCGTTAAGTATAAAAACATTTTTTTTCGAATTATTTGAACAATACATGTGCACATTTTTTTTCTACTTATTTACCGCGTCTTTAGACGTGTAAGAGGCCCTCGGTTCGGTTAGGGTGTTTTTCAGTTCTTGACAAAGTCTACACGATGTTTACCGTTTTGCAAATGACATGTCCTATAAACTACGCTGTGTATTCTATCTACGGTATATGACACATTAGGAAATGTGTCAATGCTAGTCTTCAGTATAAAAACACTCGATATATGCATGCCAATATAGAAAAAAAATGTTTGCATAGTATGTTATTTCCCCGATTCTGCAAATATGATAATTCCAAATATCTTATCAGTCTCACAGAGTTGAAATAATAATTAATTATAAATAAAGCAAAAGAAAATCACATTTTAGCTTTCTATAAAATTTCCAGATTAGAGAGCAATGGTGAACATAATTATTTATATTTTGGCAATTTATTGAAAATAACAATTAATTAGATAGATATGTTTATCATCTAGCATAATTAAAGGAAAAGGAGGCTGGTATTTCATAGAGAGAGCAGGATGATAGCTATCACGGGGAAGTAGATAATCAGGAGATTTCTTAACTGATGCACCTCGGAGGTTTGAAAAAAGTAAATCGAGCAGGGACCTAGAACGCTTGCTAATTGTATTTAATTGAAGAAAGTCCATGCTGATAAACAGATCACCAATTAAAGAAGACTCGTTGTTGAACGTACTGGTGTAAATTAGCCCTTGGGTAACGGTATTCCAAGACACTCCTGGAGGGTTGAAGGCCCCACAAAATATACGAAGTTCACAGTTTGCTAACTCCCAGATAATGTTGACGGAATTTACATAGCTATCATATAATGATTTTTTGCACAAATATAATAATACTACACTGATAAGAGCTGAGGGGCCATTATGAATGGAAAACCAAATAAATAGTTGTTCAATATTTAATACACCAGTGGAAACAAGCTTTGGATTAAGAGATTCCTTAACGGCGATTAGAAAATCTACCATCACGGGTGCGAGTACAGATTACTGTCACATCTAAATATATTATGTAACCGGTAAAATTTAGTTCAGCTTTGTTTATATCTTCAGAGAGCCATGTCTCTGTGAGTGCGAAAATGTCATAGGACAAAAGAATAAAGTTGGAATGCAAATTGATTAAATTTGATCTGCGGCCTCTAACATTCTGATAATATAGACTTAGATTTACATAATATTATTTAACGGTGAATGGTAAATTTTAGAAAATTTATCATTGAATAAATAAAAGTCTTGGATAAAATTATCTAATGAGTAATTAACATTATTACAAAAAAATACATTTAACGTTTACCGAGGATATTAGATGATGACAGTCTGTGTGAATGAAAGTATCATCCTCTTGTTTTTTGTAGAAGTGGTTCCGACTTTCGGTATTCCATTTTCAAATATTACACGCAAACCGGATTCACCATCAGTAGCTTGCGTTGCAATAGGGTTTTATCACTAGCCATTCGAAAAACATCAGGAAAAAGAGTACCGGAGCGCTTTGCAGTGTTATATGAAGACAGTAGGAGCATCGCAGATTCTTTGCTATTAATTGCTGAAAATTCAGAACGCAGTAATCAAGTCTTCATTAGAGACAAGAGCAGAAGTGTTGGCTTTAGTAAGACTGGACGAAGGTTTTGTAGGTTTAAGTCCAATTTAGGATACCCCGTTTATCTTCGTTGAACCCCAGCGCCAAGGCGTCCCATAAGAAGCATAGCTTCAAAATAGACAATAATTAACTATGATAGTACATGATGTTTATTTGATAGTGATTTATGAGTTATGACATTCAGTAATAATAATTCTGGGAAACTTGTGCTCTCCTCCCCCCCCCAATATGCTCCGACCTCACCATGCTCTTTAAGATATATACAAATGTATATAAATAAATATATATTATTACAAATTTAATTTTGATAATTAAACGTTTATTATATTGAATTAACTTTTACACTAAGCATGTTTAATTTGAAAAATAGTGGAATTAATTTATTTTTTTTTCTTAAAAGTGGTGGAAAGTATTCTTTTTTTTTTTACTATAGTTTTTTTAATTAAAATAGGTGTAGCTAAAGTATATTCTATAGTGTAAATCTATTATACGTACAATTAGTTTTATATTTATTCTAACAGAAAAATAATTTTTAGGGACAAAAAAATAATATGAAATTTTGGAAACAACAATTTGCACAATGTCAACAAAATGAACGGTAGTGAATCGACCTCAATCGAGCAAAAAATAAATTGTTTTTCGGTGAAATATTTTCGTATTCGAATAAATGTGTACAAATAAGAAAAACTACAACAACAACCACAAAATACACTAAAACAATTTCGTTTTAAAGGAAAATGAATAGATTTTCAAAACTGCGCGTCGATAAAATATCTGTTTATATCTCATATTGCACAGGGAGAAACATTTACAAAAAATACCGCCTATAGTATACGGTTTTGATAGTAAAAAACGAAATCCAAGAACCCGTGAAATAAAAAAAATTCTAAAAAGTATGGGTTCATTGTAGAAAAAAACCAAATCTTACAAATAAAATAATATTATTTAACAAAATAATGTTACTGTAAAATTGTAATCAATACAGCCTATTAAATAATAATGGCCTTTGGAATGTTTGAGAACATTAATTCTTTATTTATTAACGAATTTGTAAGTACGTAGAAATAGAAATTGATGTCCGCATCACGCATTGTTCAATTAAACTACTTTTTTAATTTTTTATCTGAAAGATAGCTAGACTTGGATTATAACAACATTACTTTAAGACATATTTAGGTGGCTCGACACCGTGGGTGGTGTAGCCGAAAACCCCCTTAGGAACCGCTGTGTACTGACTTCCACATACCGTAGACGGTATGTTGACGGTATATTATCAAGTCATAATACAATGCACGTTATTTGAATTTCAATACCGTTAGAGTTTTTAGAATTTCAATCATTGTAACCGTTGAAACAGTTTTTGTAAAACCATAATACAATTTAAAAAAAATACTATTCCATCTAATAAAATATTTTTCTTATTTAAATGTATTGCATAGAAAAAAATAGTCCAAACTCTGCTTTCTAAGTAATGTTTGTACAAGATAAATCACACAAAAAAAAATGAACCGGTTGTGCCAATAAATGAACATAATATTTACATTGCACACGTAAGTCGCAAGCAGTACATTTAGTTTCGAAATCTGATCAAGTCGATTGTTGTCCAAGAGTCTCCTACCAACTCCACAATTTAAGTAAGTGTTTTTATAAAACTCTAAAAATTTTAATAACGCTAAAAACGCATGGCCTAAAGATTCAAAAGCTATAGCGTTAAAGAAAAATAATAATGATTTTTTATTGCTAGTTATTTTTTTATCGTTTCTTTTATCGTTTTACATCGTCATCATCAATCATCGTTTTACACAATCCACATTTTGAAGAGAATTATATTATAAATTTTGGTATTGTTTGATATTTAGCTTAAAGTGTACTAAATGATACCTCACAAAAGTAGATCTTATTACGTGTACAACCAAGATTAAAATATAATTTTAGAAATATTTAGCCAGCCCCAAGTCAAAAATGCTATATTCAGCAAAATGATTAAGACATTTCCATTATAACTCAAAAAGTTTTAACAATACAAAGATAAAAAAAAATAACTCTGTAGGGAACTAAATTCATATACGTGCACAATTTTATTTTTAAACACTTTTTTTCAATCGAAAAAAAAAATTTCTAAATTAAAAACATTTAAAAATAATTTTTTTTTTCTTTGATATAATTTAAAAAAAAAAACATTAGTAATTTTCTAATTTAAAAAAAAATGCATTATAAAACAGCAAAAAAATGTTTTTAGTTTTGGCGGTTTTAAAACAAAACGCTAGAAACAAATTTGTACACGTTTTTTAGAAAGAAATTAATACCCTCCAAAAACAAGATTTTTATTTATGAGTCATGATGGAAAAACTAAATCATTTGGCTGAATATTCCTTTTTTGACTTGGACGAAATATTTTTGTACTTTATTATCAAGACGCTACTTTTGTGATCTATTATGAAAACGATTTATAAAATTGAATTTTGACATTTTCATGTCTTAGCTCTGGCACATAACCGAAAAAAGCGTTACCATAAAAGCGTTACCAAAAGAGCGTTACCACACGAAGATGGGTTGGAGGTGGAAATAGGGGTAGGAGATAAGGGGTGGGGGATGGATAGGGTTGGGGTTAGGGACAAGAGATAGGGGTGGGAGATAGGGGTGGGGTATAGGAGTAGGGGATAGGGGTAAGATATAGGAGATAAGAGATATGATGTACGTTCAACGTTCAAATTAGAACTAAATAATAAATTCAAAACAGTTTAATTCTCTATATATTAAACTATGTTAAGTTACTTTTGGCCAGATAATAAACACTACAATTTTAGCCAGAAACATGATTGTACATAATTTTTTAATCTCCTTGGCTTATGCTGTAACTGGAAGCTCCATGTAATTTTTTTTTTAAATTATAATTCCACAACTAATCTATATTTATTCGGTACTTCAACGGGACATGAAAATGCTCTTTCGTGGATGCAGACTCGGCTGAAAAACTTTTTGCAGTTTTCTAAATCGTTTTCACAATAAAGTAAATATTTTATACAAAAGTAAATATTTTGGCGTATACAACCAAGATAAAAATAAACATGTATGTTAAAAAAAAAATAGCCTAAAGTCAGTCCAAGTCAAAGAAGCAAAATGATTAAGAAAGTCCATTGTAACTAAAACAGTTTCAGCAGTACGTTGATTTAAATTTAAAAAAAAATAACTTCGCCAAAAATTAAATTTTAAAATTAAAAATATGCAAAAATTAGTTTTTTTAAAATTTTAATTAGTTTTTGAGAAAAATAATAGTAATTTTCCAAAAAAAAAAAAACTATTATAAAACAAACAACATAAAAACAGGATTATGGAAATTGGCAAATAATGACTTTTATATTGATAAGAGCGTGGCTTCAATTTAGACTCTAGATAAGAAATATCTATAATATTTAATAAAAAAAAAAAATTTTAACGCTAAAATGAAGGAAAAATCGATTTTCTTGTCTGACATACTAAAAAGCACTTATAATTTAATGCTTCTTCGATAAACTGTATACACTTTATAAATCTAATTTTTTTTTTTTAATAATTATTTTTATAATTTTTTCTGGCTTAGTGTCATCTAAACTTAGAGTTAATTTACAATACAAATATGTCGGTTTTAAATAAGATCACTATTTACAATAAAATAAAAAGAAGGAAAACAAATAGTACGTTGGATAACGAAGTTACTTAAACTACTAAAACATGTCTAGTGTTATTTACAAATATAAGATAAAAAGTTCAATTTCAAAGTATAAGAAGGAGACAAATAACGAAAATATGTTTATAATCTTAAAAGATAATCCGGTGGGGGCGTCCGCGTTTTAGTCTTCGTCCAGTGGGCTGATTACCAAGATAGTAGTACTGTGCTCCACTAGCGTTCTTCAGTTGGTCGAAGAAGTTTATTGTTAGTTTTTTAATGTAATCATTTATTGGTGGAAGCTGAAAGTCTGCGTGAAGTGCGTCATTTCGAACAAACCAGGAGGCATTTGAGATGGTTCTTAAGATTTTGGATTGGAAGATTTGAATTTTGTTTAAGTGAGTCTTGGCGCAGTTACCCCACACAGGAGCCGAGTACAATAACAAAGGTCTTAAGGTTTGCTTGTACAGCATGAGGAAGCATTTCCAACTTGGGGATGTTTGTCGATTTATTAGAGGATAGAGTATTTTCAGTCTATGGTAACGTTGTTGTAGTTTTAAGGATACATGAGGGTTCCAGGTTTAATTTTTATCCAGAATTACACCGAGGTATTATATATTAGAGAACCAAGAGATGCTATCACTATTAAGTCTTATGATGGGGACGTTTTTTCGGACGACGTAATGAAAATAGAACTGCTGTGCTTTTTGAGGGGTTCAAAATTATTTTCCATTTTTTAGCCCATAATTGAAGTCTGAATTGCTGTCGAGGTGAGTTTAAATATTTTGAGTTAAAGCTTCAGCGTCACTAGAACCTGCAAATATTACACTGTCATCCGCATATAATGCTACTTCCGTATTATTCGTTGTTGGGAAATCGAAGACGTATAGGTTAAATAGTAAAAGGGGAAATTTTGAAACCTTGAGGTACTCCTGCTTTTATATATTTTGTTTCCGATGTCGTTTCATTTATACGAAACGCGAAACAACGATAGAAAATGTATGATTTAATTAGATTAAAAATAGCTGTCGGAGTGTATTTTTAATTTCTAAAGAAGACCGTCATGCCATACACGGTCAAACGCTTGACCTATGTCTAAAAAGACAGCTCCTGTATGGTGTTTTTTTTGTCAAAGCCATTGCTTATATGTTCAGTAAAACGCAGTAAATTGTTGTATAGTTGAATGTTTAGGTTTCAATCTAAATTAGTGGTGAGGTATCTATATCGGTTAGGTGAGAAAATAATCTAGAATAAATTATTGTTTCGAATATTTTCGAGATTGAAGACAAAAGGCTAATGGGCCGATAAATATATAAAAAAAAATTGTTTTAATTATCAGTGTTTTTTTGTTCAACGTTAAAATAACCCGTCTACAGTGAACAAAAAGTAAATTTTCAAAATAAAACTTTATTATTCAGTATAAATGTTATGTCGAAATTAAGAAAAATTGTTTTGCATGTTTTAATTGTTTATTTTTACGATTTTAAAACAAAACGCTAGAAACAAATTGGTACACCTATATTACATTAGACGCCTGAAAATTAAGTATATAATGTCACTTCATAATATCGAATTTTAATAACAACATTTAGTTAAATACTAATTTTTCTAATTATCATTTTGAATAGTATAATTTAACTTTTTCATACAATGCAACTGAAATTATTGTTAACAGACCTGTTCTTACTTTGTCTATCCTCAATATGGTGAAATAACTGTAATATTGGCCAAATCAAATACCTTTCGAGATAGATTTCTACCTTTGTTTACATAAAAATCAATTTAACGGTCTAGGAAATATTGTGGGTCTGGTAAAAAGATGTATAAACACATATACATATATAAATATATATATATATTTATTTATTTATCATATTGAAAATGTCTTGCAAAATCATACCTAACCTAACCTTCTCGTCTCTACCCAAAAGGCAACTATGACTAATATAAAATGGTTTTTGATTTATTATTATTCGCAGATAATAATGAAACTCTCCAGTTTATTAATATCCTTTCTATTCCTTGCGGGTGTTTTGGCAGATGATGGTAATTATTTTATTTTCACAGTTATCAACTTAAGGTACTTAAAATTTGAAAAAATGTAATGTTTCACTTTTTCACAGAATCGGTTTATATGGATAATATTTTCACTTCAAGTCAGTTAAATTTTATATTATAAACAAATGATTTTTAAGTTTTTAAAATAAACTGTTTTATACAATTTTTTTTAATTATGAATCTCAGCTGAACTCATCAAGAATATTTATTTTAAGAGTTATTTAACAACAAGTGGTACACCTATAATAAGTAAGATACTATACTTAAAATAATATACTAATATATATAGAAGCTTTGTTATATGTATCTAACTGTCAAGTTATAATTAAATAAAAATGTTAGTTGTTATTAATAGCTAAGAAAGGTGCACCAGGTATTTAGAACAGTGAACAGAGCACATATCTGGTACACCATAGAGTGTATTATGCATTAACGATTTATAATTTTCTAATCGAGGGAAAAGAGTGAACTTAATGGCTACTGCTCAAAGTCGGGTTTAATATTATTCTAAACATACTGTATGTATTGTACCTAATTTTATATGATTTTATTATTTTAGTATAGCCTAAATCTTTATTTGTTTATTTTAGATGGTTTGGAGCATATTATTGAGTTTATGGTTGATGATGTCCATGAACTTGGTTTCTTGAATTTCCGTAATCATATTTATAATAATAATACAAAACATAATGGCAAAAGTAGAAAAAAATTATTTGAAAATAATATAAAAACTGCATCTTACGTTTATCTGTATGCAAAGAACGAGTGTTATAATTATTATATTTTTCATCGAAATCTAAATAGTAGCTTTATGAAAAAATACTGCATCAACTCAGCCATTACACTTCATAAGGGTTCCCTAGTCTATTTAATATAATTTTTTTTCTACTTTGACCTTCGTCTTCTAATTTATAATTACATAACGTAATAATTTATTATAGCTAATCAAATCCAATATCATTAATTTATGTAATGTGAATTTCAGAGAAACTTTGTTTTTTGATCGCTATACCGGGTAATAGTTTTTGTTAAATTTTATGAAAATATTTCCAATATTTCATTCCTATTGAATTTTTCAAAGAGACTCTCATCGTACTGAATATACAGTGGAGCATATTTCTTTCGAGTTATTAATAAACATGTTTTTTCTACCTTGAATTTCGTCTTCCTTTTTGTAATAAAATTGAACATTAAATGCAATAACATTAATTTATGTGTTCTTAATCATTTCAGACCACAAGGATAGTATATCCAATATAGCGGGTAATAATATTCATTGCACTTTATGGAAGCGTTTCCACACTGTTGTTTTATAATCTTTATGCAAACACGATTTTTGTTATAATTTCAGCTTTCCGTCGAGTTCCAGGCCAATCAGGAAGTAAAAATCCCTTTTTATATTTATTATTTCTAAATACTTTGAGAATAATCTTATGTACCTATTGACAAACACCAATATGACATATCGGTTTCATTAAAAAAAAGGGAAGGTACATTAAAATGCATTTTGTTTTAACTTTTAGAAGCCAATTATTTTCTCTATGTTATGCAATAGCTGTTTGCTATTTTTTATGCAAACAAGATTTTTGTTTTAATTTCAGTGTACGATGGAGTTTTTGGCCTAACGCAAAGTAATAACCCCTTTTAGTATTTCGTATTTATTATTTACCAATACTTTGAGACTAATCATATGTACCTATTGATAAAATATATCTATGACACACGGTTTCTATCAAACAAAAAATGTAAGTATATTATAATAATATATTTTATTTTTAATTTTAGAAGCCAATGCAATTCTCGATCAAATGATACAAGTCATAGTTATAAAACTAATAGGTAAATACCGGGTTTTATAAAATGCACAATGATTTGATGTTTAATGTGTTTGTTACAGGATATAGACCGAAAATAACTTATACTACTGGTAATTACCATTTGTTTGATATTCATAAATAGCCTCAAAAGCTTGTTTTAGAGTTGATAATTCGACTTCATTAAATTTATTAAATTTTTTATATCAGATAATGATTTTAATAAATTCAACTTTTTGTTGAGTGTGACTACAGTGTCAATGTGTAATAAATTCTTTGGGACTTCAATAGAAATAATACATTTGTGGAGTCTCAACACTAATAAGTGGTTGTACAAAAAGTTATTTGTATCACAATTCTTTGAAATGTAATGCAATAATTATGTATAAAGAGCGACTAATATATTATTTATTTTTATTATTTCTTCGCAACACGGTCATTTAATAATTATTTTTATAGAATTTGGAACATTGCAAGACATTGCAAACGAGAGAAGAGAATTAGCTGCTTTAGCATTAAAAAGTTTAATCGGACGTCGTTTATTAGGTAAATATTATTATGGAGTTGTATGGTTTATGAACGCTATAAATATATATATATATATATATATATATATAAGTTGTTTAATAGGAAAAAGTATACAGCTGATTTTAATTTTTAACCATTCACCAAATAAATTTAAACTACTAACACGTACTTTCATGTCATATAAATATCATGACAGTACAATACGGACACTATACTTAGTGTATTATTTTTATATGACTTCGTATTAACAAATAAAATAGTTTTGTCCTGCACCTATGGTAAGAAAAGTAGTAAACTAGTAAGTTTATCTTAGCATAATAAAAAAAATTTCAAATTTTTTAGGTGAACAGGTTGTAGATGATGAGGCATCTTTATCATCGAAGTGTCGTTTTCTAGGAATATACCTAAGTACACAATCACCAGATACATACATAAAAGAAGTTGATATTGAGTCAACTAGCCTTACATGTATCTTTACGGATAAAAGTAATACTATAAGCAAATACAGGAAAATTGATGGCACATGGTCACAAATAGTCTTCAATAACCAGGCAGGAGAATCACTCGAGACACAGTTACAACGTGGACGTCCACGAGTTCCACCCACACTCACATGTATTCGATTTATTATATAAAAAAATATTATTATTTATCTTATCATTGTCACTTTTTCATTATAATTTCTAAAATATATACATATAATTAAGCTGACGGGAAAAACCGTTGGTGGATTTTTTCAATAACGTATTCCACAATATACATTTTTAAGTACATAATATTGTATGCCTATTTTTATTTTACGCCATGTCTACCAATAAAACAAATAATTACCGAATAAGTAAAGTTGTATTTTTGTATCTAATCTACCTTTATTAAATGACTGAGCTGGATTGGATGACAGGGTCATTGTTAATATTTCTAATGGATAATTTAGCTTAATGGTTATTATATAAAGATTTGATATTAGAGGTACCTAACATAACCTATATGGAGTTCTAATGTCGGTGCCAAAATAAAACAGCGTAGAATAGATTATAGGGTGAAGCAAGGTATTTTCGTGGCATAAGCTATTTCGTGATCTAGTTTGTTGATCGTATCGCGTAATCCCCTATTAGAAAATTTTCTTGAAAATCACACTGATTCTTAAAACACAGTTATTTTAACAATCAGTGGGATTTTCAAGACAATTTTCTAATAGGGAATTACGCGATACGATCAACAAACTATAACACGAAATTGCTTATGCCACGAAAATACCTTCCTTCACCATATATTATAGCCAAATGAGGAAAAACAATATTCTGGCTGGACAATCACAATGGTATTGGATTGGTTTGTATACGATTTAAATAAGAACAATGTCGGGTACGAAAATTAATCCTACATGATATTTGAATTCAAAAAGAAAGTCGATTTCAATTTTTTTTTCCAACGCATTATTGTGTGCTAAATTCCAAATGTGTAAAATTGTTTATTTGGATGTGTATTGATTTAGAGCAGGGTTTTTTTGTGGGCTATTACTCATGTTTTGTTATTCACATCGCTACGAAATTAATAAAAAATAGACTGTTCTTATAAAATGTTATGTATAGTGCGTGGACAGAAGCAGAATGGAGTGACGTCCTGTTCACCGACGAGTTCCGCTTTGCCCTTTACGCATCAGATGGACGTCAAAACATCCTAAGAAGACGTGGCGAGCGTTACGCAGCCATCTGATGCGTAAAGGGCAAAGCGGGACTCGTCGGTGAACAGGACGTCACTCCATTCTGCTTCTGTCCACGCACTATACTCACGCGCGAATTCCAATCGCGCTCGCTTATGCGCTACCGTCAATGCGGGTGCATTTGCTGGTCTAAATGAATGTAGTCCATATTCTGCCAACCTTCTTCGTACTGTTTGGGCAAAAACATCCACTCCCCGAGCTGCATGAAGCCTTTGGGCTATCTGCACAGGAACAGAGCCGCGATTTCGTAATGCGTATAACTGCATAAAACGGTCGTCCACCCTATTTGTGGCCCTCTGCGGACCTGTACCAGGTCTACGGGTTAAGAGACCAGTGCTCCCTGTATCTTCGGACGCACCTACGAAGTGTACTTTCCGGTACATCCAGGATACGGGCCGCGTACCTTTGACTGCGCCCATCTTCGATCAAGGCCACAGCACGGGCAATTTGTTCACTAGTTAACACCATTTTTTTCACTTTAGAATTGGTTTATTGTTAATTGTCCACCAAAATTCTTTTTTTCGTGTTCGAAGGCCGAGAACGTAAAATGAACTAACCATTGAATTATCCATAGATATCCTTTTCAGATCTGTTTTGCTTAACCTGTAGGAGTTTATGTGATAAGACGAAAAAATCATATGCTAGCACATTAATAACGGTGTCATAAATTGAATTTTATTTATTTTAAGCATAAAAATGTCAAGTGGAAGTCATAACATTTAAAATTAATAGTTTATTTCAAGTGCGCCACTTTCCGTGTAACTCAGTGTATAAAAATTTGAAATAACAAAAAAAAACCATACAAATTTTAAAGGTTGGACTATTACTTAATTTCGAAAAAAAGAGTCGATAGTCTCAAACTTCAATTATACTCATTATACTCAGTGGGGTGCCAGTTTTTTGTTTTTTGGGTTTCTTAGCCATATGTTTAGGAACTTGAAGTTAGAAATGTATCAAGAGTTAAAACTTATATGTATCCATAACATATTAACCGAAGAAAAAATTCGGAACAACAGTTTTTCTTTATTTGTCAGAAAACTGCGTTTTTCTTAGATTTTGTATATTTCGACATAAACACTTTAAATCTTAAAAAAATTGTATCAAATCATTTAACACTTCTATTGTTATCTATCCAAAATGATACGGTTAAGTTTTGATATTCAAGTACCAGCTTTTGTACTTATATCTTTCTGCATACTATCTGATACCAAAAATTTGTTATTAAACAAAAAAATCACCATTCTTGTATATAGATTTAAACGAGTATCAATAAAACATTTGATTTGGTTGTTACATTAGAGAGAAACCATTGTCCAAAAATAAATTACCTAATATTTTCCTAGGGATATTTTGTAATAAATTGATTACATTTCCACAGGCATCGTGTATTACTCTATATATTATGTTATAATTTAATTAGTTAGGTATTATTATTACTCTTTGTACTTTTAAGAAACTGTAACATTCAATATTTCGATATTCTATCATTTTGTTTTAAAAAAAATTTCTATTGAATCATTAAATTAAGATAACTAATAACTAAATCTATATAGGAACATTCTAGGGCATTTTGTAACAGTTTTAGTTTTTATTTCAATATCTTATTAGGTTGGTATTCGAATAAAACGATATTTATTTTTTAAGAGTAAAGACTTATAAATTTGAATTCAACTACCAAAAGTGACACCAATTTTAGTTTCATTAAAACAAACACCGTTTAGTTTTTGAAGAAAATCAAGGTTTAACACAATTGTTCTAAATGTTGTATTTATTTATCTTTTAACTTCGGTGCAAAGCGACGAAAGTATTGGTTTTACTATGATGTGGCCTTTTTTTTATCTGTATACAGTGTAACTTGTGTAATACTGGACCAATTCGTTCAAGTAGCAACTGTATAAATTACAAATTTGATATAGTTGTACTTTGGGGTGGAGGGGGGGGGGGGTAAACGTTGAAAAAGTTTACTTCTTCACAGTTAAAATTCTAAAAAAAAAGACATAAACCTAACGAGTTTTTAGTTAGAACTTTTACTGGCTAAAATTTCGAGAAAAAGAGTCGGGTCGAGTTTAAATTTATAAGGATTATTTATTTGGTATACCCACACGAGTGTCTCACATTAGTTGGATCACTCTGTATAATAAGCGGTAAAAATATATTATATTAATGTTATTAATTGAAATATAAATGGTAATTATTAAATTACTACGAAAATACCGTTTTAGACTCCTCGCGTTATTGATTATTAGTTAACTGTAATCATTATTTTCTACAACTTTATAGTGATAGGATAGTCTACGTCTTCTTGAAATGACGGAGAGACCGGATTTTTTTTTTTAAAATTAGTTTTGTATTAACCAGTGGGCTAAGATATAAATAATGTAAAAACTTATTCAATAGTTGTACCACAAAATGTATCAAAATATAAAACAGAACAACCAATCAAATTGCAGATCATCTTTGAACTGGGCTTAACTTGCTGAAATCAACGGATAAAAATTAAATACCAAAATGATTTCCGATTTCGGTTGAAAAAATATGTTATTCAATATGAAATGAAATTTCATTTATTCTGTGGTGGTAACTCAAAAACGGTGACCACAGGAACCGATTTTTACGGCATTATTATTTATTATGTTTTGACTTTGGTCTAGTTTAATCATAGCATTTTAAAACATTTTTACTTTTGGCACATAGTTCGTGATACATTGTGCATGGTAGTTTGCTTACAAAGTAGTAATAATTATTTTTAACTCTTACTTCACTTTATTATAACATAATTTTACAGTTAAGTGTGTTTGTGAAATATATCCAGCGTTAACTGTTAAGCATGCGGTCGGCTTGAAAAGTATTGTGTAAAAGTTACAATCTTGTAATTGTGTAATGGCTGATTCAACGGAATCCGGGATCAGTTTTTTATCCAATTGGAAATTGTGCCTCGCCGTTCGATACCTTGGTGTTGCCGTTCTTTGAGTTACATAATTCCTACATTCCAAAAAACTTGTCAGTACCAAGACATCCAAGAGCAACAGTGTTGTCCCAAATGTAAACGATTCTATAAAGGTTAATGTTAAGATATTATTTTTAAAGCTATGTTATTATGGTATTTGTGTAAAATACACATTACACATATTATTATATAATAGGTGTTGGTTGATCAAATAGAAAAATTTAAAAAGCAAGGCGATGCTGAATTTTCTATGGGCAGCTATGACGCAGCTGTCACATTCTATAACCAAGCAATATCTATGTGTCCAGATAATGAAATAAGATTATTGTCTGTTGTATACCAGAATCGAGCAGCTGCTTACAGTAAATTGGTAAAATACCGTTTGTAGACTCCACACGTTATTGATTAGTAGTTAACTGTAATCATTATTTTCTACAGCTTTATAGTGATAGGATAGTCTACGTCTTCTTGAAATGACGGAAAGACCAACTGTGATAAAGTTGATCACGTCACATCATATTATATAAAATAAACATGAATACAAACCTTTTTAAAACCAATTCAAAGAAGTGAGAACTAAAAAATTATACCCAAGGTTAATCCTGAACCTAACCGATTGATCAAATTGCAACGACAGCTTTGGTACCGTTACCATCAGTAAGGATGTCAAAATAGCATACAAATCGCGATTTACCAAAAACGAAAAATCTATTAGTACACATCAAAACATCACTGCTGTCAGAGCCGCTCTCTTAAAGAGGTCAAGACATTCCATCAAGACGTGCGCTATCGTTAAATATATATATATATATATTTATATATATCTTTACATGTATAAACAATCGCTAAAAACAGTTTAACATGCACGATAAAGATAATTATGTATTTTGTTGCATTTAACTTATTAATACAGAATATACATAAGTATAAGGTGATTAATAAGTACTGACTAGGTATAATAATTAACAAGAGATATGTATAATACTAATTAATAATTGAAAACCTAGTTCATGATTTCAATCAAATTGTTACAATTGTTCAGTGAAAATTCCATTTCAATATCATAATTAGTCATTAAGTAACGTGGTCGTGAACTTAAGGAGTTTTTACAATAAATTTACAGAAT